ATTTGCCTAACATAACTCTAAAATAAAGAGGTATCAACATGAAACTTTGTGGGTAGATAGATCTCATTAAGTAGGTTTGCAATGCACAACACTGTCTTGCCTACTTTTGGAGTTATTGCCATTTGTTTATTTTTACACTTTGAACTTTGTTCTGAGAATAACTCTAAGCTTATAAGAGATATCAGCATGAAATTTTGTAGGTAGATAGATCTCATTGGGTAGAAGTGCAGTGCAAAAGAACAATAAATCTGTTAAGCCCAATTTTTGAATTATCTCCCATTTTAGATAAATCCTGTCCGGGACATAACTTAAAACTATAGGAGATATCAACATGAAACTGTGTAGGTATTGTTTAATTTTATTAACCTGTCAATTCCATACTGATTATACGGTCAATGCACAGAATATATTAATATTCGATAAATGTTCGGTAAATTCCGTGAGATGTACGCAGTAAGGTGTGTTTAAATTAATCTTGTTTCTATGAATTTGTTACTCTGACCGTTATAGCGCAATAGGGTGAACTACGGGTATATACCTGTAATATCTTTTGTAAAGCTGCGGTCTCACTTACTCCCAGCAGGCCCAGGACCATCCCGGTAAGTTACCGGGATGATCAGGGGTGAAATTAGTTGCGGTCACACTAACCCCGGCAGCACTACGGTAATTCCCAACTTACCACCTGGGATGCGCTCCGGATCATCAAGGCAGAGCCCAGGTGAAGCTACGGTTCAAGTCGGTGCTTCCCCTGTCGTTCAAGGATGACGCCGGAAGAGCCCTGGTTGATCCAGGTAGAGCCCCGGCACAGCCCAGGACAATCCAGACAGAGCCCCGGCAGAACCCCGGTGGGTTGAAAACGCGCCGCGAAAATGATGACATTAATTTTTATTTAATATGATATCTATTGTTCCAGAATAGTAATTCATAATGATTTTCTGAAAAATCCTTATCCAAGACTGGATAGAAGGGAAATGGGAAAGGTTTTAAAACAAACAAGTGCAATCATCGCAAATTGTCGTGATTCTTTTTAAATGAAACGGGCTTTGTCGGGGCTCTACCGGGATCAACCTTAGCTCCATCGTCCTCCTCCGGGGTTCTGCCGGCATCCTCCGGGGCTCTGCCGACATTCACCGTTGCCTTACCGGCTATATCATACCCCGGATCATCCCCGGTTTGTGCCGGCAGAGCTACGGCGCTTCCCCGGTGTAACCCCAGTCAATTCCGGCAGGGCTAAGGATAAAGCCGGCAAAGCTATACTTCCCGGATCATCCCGGACCACCCCGGTGATATTAAATATTTTATTCCATCCGGGGTCGAATGCCGAATGTTCCCGGATCATCACGGACGTTGCCGGCAAAGTTACGGATGTGCCCCGGTTGTTCCCGGTTGTACCCCGGGAACTCTAAAACTATAGGAGATATCAACATGAAACTTTATAGGTAGATAAAGATCCTAATGGGTAGATGTGCATTGCACAAGAAACATAACTCTGCCTTGGTTTATTTTGGAGTTATTGCCCTTTGTTCATTCTTACATAACTCAGAAAGCATAATAGGTATTAACAATAATCTTTGTAGGTAGATGGATCTTATTTTATTAGAAGTCCAGTGCAAAGAATAGTAACTCTGCCTTGCTTAATTCAGGAACTATCGTACTTTGAACTTTGTCCAAAGACATAACTCTGAAACTACAATAGGTGTACTTTCCTGTGTCAAAAACCTATTCGGGGAGCATCAACCGGTTCAAACCGGACTCTTGTTTCCTTATCTGTTACATTGCTAGAAAATTTACGATACACATTTTTTACCATTGCAATGAATTTTATTTTAAAATTTGCAAGTGCTAAATCGTGAATGCGCTCAAGCGTAAAACACCAGGTTGGTAAGCAGCCGTTTAATTATACGCAGTATATTTTTCGTTCGACATGAAATAAATTAGATTGTATAATGTGTAACATTTTCTAAAATTTTCATTTGAATTGAATCATAATCAAAAGAACTGTGCAAAGTTTGAAGAAGTGAGTTAGAAGTTTTGTATAGTTTAGTAAGTATACATGTTTCATCATATCTTTTAAGAATTATCTGATCAATTTTACCTTACACGTAACAAGTACACAAAAATGTGTAAACCCAACAATAATATAAAAGTGTAAACGCAGGCTTCATAACCTCTGATCCCCTTTCAAAATTCCGTTTTATTTAGTTCCGCCCATTGTTTTCTCGTTCAGGGCACACGCTTTTTATTACTTGGGGACCATACGCCGCTTTTCATGGAATGGCACGAAGTGTCACATTGAAGGTTCCATGATAACCGCCGTATGAACACATTTGCGGATGTTTCTAAATTCAAAATTTTACTATTTCACGTTTAAATGTTGAATTCTGCTTAAGCCGGTGCTAGGGGGCGTGGACGGTAACTTGCACTTTCCAGTACCGTCCATGAACAGGCTCAATCAAACCGAGCCTGCAACATTTTCAATTTTGCCGTGTTGGGCTTTCTTTAGGGATTCTGTATTTATCTATTTTACTATGGATAAAAAATAATGGAAAAAGGACTACGTATATTCACTGTAGTTTTTGCAATCATTCTAAACTATTATCAGCTTAAATGACTTTAGAAAATTATAAATGAAACATTTTAGAGAAAATTTTTAGGTTATCCTCCCTAGAAATTTGAATTATTTGATTATTCTAAGTAATAAGAATTCTGTGGTGAACGTCTTTTAAGAAATCATTGAATGCTTACTTTTTTATAAGTTTTCATACATAAACTAATATGACTGACTCGTTGTGGGACAAGAAGATAAATTTCAACAAAAAGCCGCCATAGGTTACTAATATAAAGACCTGTAATATAAGAAACAATACATTGCAACACAAGTTTGAGCTTATTCAAGGGGTTAATAACAGGAGCATCGCATTGGGGTGGTAATATACGCCCGAATGCTAAGTTGTTTAAAGTTATGTAGGTAGGTATGGTAGGTAGGTAGGTAGGTAGGAAGGGTAGGTAGGTAGGTAAGGTAGGTAGGTAGGTAGGTAGGTAGATAGGTAGGTAGGTAGGTAGGTAGGGTAGGTAGGGTAGGTAGGGTAGGTAGGTAGGGTAGGTAGGTAGGTAAGGTAGGTAGGTAGGTAGGTGGGTAGATAGGTAGGTAGGTAGGTAGGTAGGGTAGGTAGGGTAGGTAGGTAGGTAGGGTAGGGTAGGGTAGGTAGGTGGGTGGGTAGGTAGGTAGGTAGGTAGGTAGGTAGGTAGGTAGGTAGGTAGGTATGTATGTATGTATGTACAGACCAGCCACAAAATTTTGAAATTAATACATTAATTGTGACCTAGGCCTGTGGAAGGTCACATCAACGCCCCGTACATCACCTCACTATGGATAACATTTCTGTCAAATAGTATCAATTTCCCTCCAACGGTTCAAAATATAAGTCTTTATAAATCAAGTAATCCTGGGGCGGGGCCATTCTTTATCTCATTAAGCTCGAACCTGTGTCCTCCACATCGAGTCATAAAAAGTAAAAGTACTGCTTAAAAGTTTAAATTTCTTTCTATTGGTTAAAAGATACAGAGCGGAACGAAATTTTGAAATTAATACTAAATGTGACATTGGCCTGAGAAATGTCAAGATTGTCTTGTTATTGTTAACATTTAAGTCAAGTAATTTCAATTCAAAGATACGGACCGGACCCGAAAACTGTTTACTACCCGACATGGTGTGTATGAGTTACTTGTAGTTCTTTCCATTTCACTTGGTACAAATATACATTGCTTGAATACTGTATGATCACTATAAGGATATGTGACTTGCTTTTTAAATTAGTCTTTTGACAGTTTATCTCTGATACACAGGCTTTATTTTAATTTATTTTAAATTCCATTTGATTAAGTTTCGCCGATTGATTTCCCGTTTAGAGCATCTTTTCCATGGGGATCATACGCAGCTTTTCACTGATTAGCACTAACGTGTCCCCTTGAACATTCCATGATAAACGCCATACGAACACATCTGCTAATTTTTCTATTTTCGAAATTTATCATAACCATGTTTTCATGTTGAATTTCTGCTTCAGCTGGTGCTAGGGGCGTGGGCAGTTACTTGCACTCTCCTCTTCTGTCCATCACCTGACTCAATCAAACCGAACCAATATTTTAAATGTTACCGTTTTGGACTTTGTAATTGTATAGAGATTCTATTTCACTATGTTTTATACTCAGACCTGGCATTAACCATTCTTTGCCTTTTTACATCTGACTGATCATTGCCACACAAATTTGAGGCCGAATAAAACAATCTCCCAAGCCTGGACTGAGCAAAGACCATTAACATACCCCATACGTTCTGTTCTACATTTAAATGAAGGTGTAACAACTCCGTAAATAATATTGGGGAATTCACTTAAACAATAATCAAAACCACTTTTACATAAACAGTTTTCTATATTCTGCTTTAATTTATGATTCACATGCTCACACTCATTAGTTTAAAGCATGTATCTTCTTAAATATAAAAGAAAATTCACATACACAGAAAATATGTTTGGTTCTCTAACTTATCGACAAAGTCGTATGAAGTTTTAACTACGCTCGACCCTCTTACCAACAACTGTATAACGGCCCATATGTTTGTTTACATCTTATATTCCTTTCATAATATGTAGACCTGTTTGCTCACAAAGATCCAATAAAAATAAACCGTTTTTGTTTAAACGTTTTTTTTTTATATTGCAAGGAACGCTTCAAACTGTCATCTTTGCAATAATCTGCAGGTAAAAATCTAACATCAGGTACAAAATCTGGATCAAATGTGTGCGCGATTTAGTAAAATATATATATAAAAAAAACATTTTTACATTTCGAATCTAAGCTTACAATGTGATCTATAGGCTATCAAATGTATAACGCAATTTTATTCAATATAACTGATATATAGAGATAAAGTAGCAGAAATAGCACAGATAATATCAGTTTTTTTTTGTAACCTGAATTAAATTGCTGAGTTTCAGTTTACACTTTTCCGCCAAAAGTACTCGTGAACAAACTTGTCTAAAGTCTGTCTTATAAATGTTGCAAAGTGATCGGCTCTTCATTTATTGAGTAATTTCATGTCGGTATACATGCGTCAAAATATGGAAGATAAAAAACGGAGTCAGAAATCAAAAGGAACACAAAAGTCTGATAAATGGAAGGACGACATTCGAAAACTGTATGCTGGATTGGAAAAACTTGCACGACTTGACGAATTTGAAGAAGACCAAAAGATCGTTAAAAAAATTTATGCAGATTTCGAAAGATTTTTTAATGGACGTAGAAAGGCTAAACAGATTAAAATCAAATATCGACCTTTGTTTGATAAAGATATACTGGAGGGCACATTTACTGACGAACATAGAGCTATATCATTGCTGCAGAAACAGGAGGACAGTCCAATAAATGGCGATACCCTTTTACTTCGAGCAATGTCAATGAATGTAGAATCTGAAGTGGGAAAGACAACTCTTGACCAGATCATCAAATTACTAATAGAGAAATGTCCAGAGCTGATTGTGTTTCCAAAAAGCAATGTTGGTTATGCAGGTATTACACCAGTCCATCTTGCAATTCTAAAAGAAAATGTAAGCATCTTAGAGTCCATGTGTAACAGTTTGGAATATATCCATGAGTCCAGACTCCCAAAAGAAATAATTCAAGGCATATGTGCAGTTGGACCAATTTTTCAAGCCTCTCCAATGATGGCAGGTACACCTCTAGGTGTTGCAGCTCTTAAATTTAATGAAGACATTTTTAAGCTTATCCTATCACATTTTGCTTCAGGTTTAGATGTTACGAATGACAAAGGGGACTCTATTATACATTCCCTCATCAAATATGCGTGTGTACAGCCGGACAAACACAATGATATTCTGACAATGATAAGCTATGTTTTACAGTGCAAATTTTGCAGTGACTTTGATGACAAAGTTAAACGAAAGTACAAAAGACAGGCACGCAAACTTCTTATGTTGACAAGCAAAGAAAAATTAAATGCGATGCAACTGGCTGCAAAAAGACAACAATTTAACATATTTGAAAACATTATGCGGAGCGAGGTAAGTGATATTATTTTTTTCACAATAAAATGACAAAATTATACATTTCATTTTTGTTGGGTATTATGTCTCACCAAAGCAGTATAGGTCATATGACGACTTCCCAGATGAACCGGTTGGTAAAGACCTCAGGTACCAATTTGTGCATTATTTTAGGTACAAACGGGCACCTAAGTAGAACCACAGACGTTCCGTAAGCCAGCCGGATAGCTTTCTCTCATTAAGAATCAGAAGACACTCGCACCGCCCGACCTTACAGCGGTGAGAGACCATTGATTTAAAGTGAACGACCTTAACCACTCGGCCACGAATGCCCGATCTATTTCTGACTATTACATACTAAAAGAGTATTTACTGTCAATTTTAATTATGTAAAACTTTAGATTTTCTTTTGTTTCAGATCACGTGGTTTGAAATTTATTGATTTTTTCTGGTAAAAATGATGATTGATTAAAACATATGATATAAAAAAGAGAAAAAAAAGGAAAAAAAAAAGAAATATGAGACCAAAAATCAGTCGTAAGTTATAAGGAACAGGAGTTTTGAAATTGCTAACGAAATGATAAGCTAGTGATATTTTTGAATGTCGTGAATTTGAAACGCCAGCATAATTATATCGAACACTTCTTTCCAATATTGCATATCATCGATTTCTATTCTCTGTTTCATTCACTTCTATATTTACAGATTTACCATTCAAGAGAATCCGGCGATGGCCTTTTCAATGAAGAAGTGTATGACATAACAGAAATAGAAACGCTGAACATCATTGAAGAGGTCGATGAGAACGACAATGAAGATCTGAAACCAGACCACCACGAGTCAATTTTGGAGTACATAGTCCACCAAGAAACAAACACTGCTTTTCGTTTTGTCGATTCTATTCCCGTACAAGACGTGATTCGGGAGAAATGGAAGTCATACAAGAGTTGGTTTCTCGGATGGTTTATTCTCCATCTTGTTTTCATGTCCCTGTTATCTGTTGCTTCTGTATACAGATCTAAACTATCCGGACCTGTATCAATAAACAAAAAGGTTGAATTTGCATACATCGTTTCTGAAGATGCATTCGTGACTGTAGTTTCCGTATTTGGTTTACTTATAGGTTTGATATATCTTACCATGGAGATAGCGCATCTGCTCATTTCACGTTTTCAATATCGGACATCAAAGGTTTTCATGAAACGATTTTTCCGGCATTTTAATACGCCATATTCAAATATGATTTTTAGAATATATTTTAGCCTTTTTTCTCTCCTGCTGATCATAGATTGCGTTCTTGCTTCAACTGAAGCCTCTGGCTCCTTTTCAGGATATGAAAATTATTGCCTGATCTTTGCTGTGATTATTGGCTGGTATTTAGTCATGTTCTTTCTGCAAACATATAGGGCATTTAGCATATTTACTGTCTTGATACAAAAAGCAGTTTTAGATATGCTTAAATTTGCTTTAGTTATGGCTTTCTTTCTGGTGGCATTCTCTGTAGCAATGTACATGATAATGCAAGGGGCTAATACTGTGGAAGACGACTTCAACCACTTTAGTACAACAATGCTTAAAATGTTGACCATCATGCTTGGCCTTGGAGAACTTGGAATCTTGTTTGAAGCTCGACAACCTTATCTAGCAATTTTTGTCTTTGTTCTGTTTGTCTTGCTGACAACAATTCTCCTCCTTAATGCCTTGATCGCCATGATGTCAAATTCTTGCACCGATCTTATGAATAACTATGGAGGATTGGTAGCTGGGAAGCTTCACTGTCGTCTGCAAAAGTTGTCAGTTATTTTGTTTCTTGAAGGATTCTTTCCCCGGCGATTATGTAAAGAAGTTGGGATTAAGAAAAAGAAACATAGATATGTCAATAATGAATGGACGTTTAACAAACAGAGGCGGTTATGGCTAAGAAGCTCAGTTCACGACCATAACATGACAGAAACTGATAAGAAGTCCGATCAAATACTGCAAGCACATCAGACAAAAGACATTTTTTCTTTATTCATGCAATATGTTAATCCAGAAAAAAAGGGTAAAAGGACTAAAGTTGTCGAGTTATCACCTTCACCACTGTATACAATTACACTTCCGAGTAGAAACAATGAAAGCTTTGATATTACTGACAATGACAAGAATGTTAATGATGATGAGCAAAACAATACACTTTTGAAATCACTTAATATACCAGACGACGAGGTAATACAACATTCTTAAATAGCTAATGTTTTATTGAATAATAGTTACTTAAATTTAGTATTTTGTGACGTTATTGTAGAGTAATTGTGTACTTCTGTAGACATATAATTTAGTTGTATTTTAGTATATACATCGTAGATGATCACACTGCATTTCATATTCCTTTTTAATTTGATGTATGTTTGTTAGTGAATGCAAGCTTATTCAGTTTTCAAAGTAACTTGTCGTTTTTTAATCTAAGCGAAAAACACTTCGAAAGAATGATGAAATCGTTTATCGGACGTTTGATACGTTTTTAGGTGCGTGAATATTGTTAAATAATTTCTGTGATATACGATGTATTTCAAAGTATCTTTATTTTAACCTATTACTTGCGTTTTTTGTATTTATATATGATCGCCATTTATTGATGTTTCTTCCGCACATTCTCATACCATAACAAATAATTTTATTTGGATGGCATGCATGCGTATGACATTTCGTTAGTTTTTATTGTATATTTTATCTATAAAGAAAACTTGAATACTTTCTTTGTTCATGTGCATTTATTTAGATTTAATTTTTTCTTAATATTGCTAGACTTTTTTTGTGTAATTGGCTGTTGGTCATGTATCGCATAATTTTATTTATTCATTTTTAAACGACTTAAATTTCATTTTGTAACAACGTTTAATTCTAAAAGTAATCAACTATCTTTGTCAATGTTATATTACGAGTGCTCATAAAATAGTTCCCTGACATTTATAAAAAGAAGGGGCATATGCGTTTGTCAAGATGAAAAAACAACAACAATATTTAATCTCTATAATGACAAATTATGGATTTTTCCCTTTCATGTAACATTGTTATTCCTTTTACAGAAAAAAGTAATAAATTATATTTATCATAATGTACAACTTTTATTTCAAAATCTACAACTATTTTTAACAGTATCTACACACCACCTTTTACATAACCAAAACATTTGTATCACATCAAATAACGATGTCATATAGAATTAATCAATTCGTTAGCTGGGCGGGGTTAAAAAAAAACCACCCTTTTTTAGTATATTATCTTTATATATAGACAGGGAAAAAATCAATGAATAAACTCGCGTCCCAACCTTAGGCATGATTAGAATAATCTTTATTTACAGTGGCCTTACAAAGTAAAGTACTATGCCCTTTTTGTAAATACTCTATTCCTTTAAAGTGTATAAAGCGATATATTTTGCCGTCTGTGGATTGTAAAATTACTGTTTATTTTGTAATTGAAATAATTACAGAATACAATAAATGAAAGAATTTTGTCGCTATACTTTATTGAAAGCCAGTAGGGCATGTGTTTGAATATGTTTATCTCAATGTTTGCTTATAACAAAAATTATATTTAAAACCTGATAATAAAATAACAATTGATGAAATTTCGCAATTTCTTTGTGCTACAAAATATGTCATTAAAAAGTCAGTTTGAGGTATTCTTGAAGGACGCAACCAATAACTTAAGCGATATAACACAATGATCACTATAATTGGGGTAACTTTAATTTAGTTAACAAATAATAATGTATTATGCGTGATATGAATGCGGCCATTTTTTTATAAGCCTTTATTATGATATTATAAATTGTAGGGTATAATTGAGTTTATAAGTAGACTATTTAGAATAAAATTTGCCATCTGGCAATACGATAATAACAGTTACACCTGCGTTTTTGTTGCCACAAATTTGTATACAAAATAGATTGTATACAAAATAACTTTAAATTCTCTGGTTTTTAAGACTTTTGTGAGTGACTATATTGACTTTATGTTTTTCGATATGTGGCTTCTTAAACACTAAAAGACTGTACAGAATGTTTATAAATTTGTAAATTATAGTTTCATGAAAATTTTATCATCATTATTTATTGTTTGTTTACGTTTTTAGTTCTCTTTTTTTAAATTTTTATATGACCGAAAGATTTTCGGACATTTTATGTTATACCCCCTGGCGTCCGTCAGTCCGTGGTTAGCAATTTGGTTTCCGGAGCATTCCTGACGTTTCATTTGGCCAACAATATTCAAACTTCATAGGATGATTGTCCATATTGAGTAGAAGAACCCTATTGATTTTTGGGTCACAAGGTAAAAGGTCAAGGTCACTATTACATTAACACTTACAACAGGCTCAATAAGTTTAAGTAATAATCAACCTACAGCTGATGAACAACCATGTCCAATACATGACCCCTATCGATTTTAGGGTCATAAGGTCAAAGGTCAGGGTCACAATTAGCTTAACACTGAAAATTGGTTTCTTTATCATAACTCAAATTCCATTTCGCCCACAGTGTTTAAACTTCATAGGATGATTGTCAATATTGAGTAGAAGGCCCCTATTAATTTTAGGTAGCAAAGTCAAAGGTAACTATTACCTTAGAACTATAAACGGTTTTCGCTCAATAAAAAAGGTCAGGGTCACAATGACCTTTACACTGAAAATTTTCGAGCATAACTCAAGTTCCATTTGGCTTACAGTGTTCAAACTTCATAAGATGTTTGCTTATATTGAATAAAAGATCCATATATATATATATTGGGGTCACAAGGTCAAAGGTCAAAATCAAATAACCTTAATATTGTTAACAGTTTTACAACTGTCAAACTTCATAGCATGATCACTTATATTGAGTACATTAATTAAATGCCCTAAAATGTGCTTATGTTAAGCTACACGCCTGGCGTCTTTTTGTCCATGCGTCGTAGTATTTATACTTACAAGATAACAACTTGATAGTGGTGATTTGGACACAGCAACTGTAATATATATGAAGGTTCTTCAGCTATAAAGAAGGATTGCTTTTTGAAGGAGCATTCTAAATGGCATCTTTTATCTCTACTTCGTTTTCCACAATTATTCATAATATGATATTCATATGAAATATTCCCATGTCTTACAAATGCTTCATCCTTACTAAAAAGAACACTTTTCCGGCATATAATGCACCGCTCTTGTTATTTTTTATGTTGTGTTGCTATTCATTATTGTATTACTGAAATGGTTTAACTATGAGATTTATGGCTATGTAAGACCACAACATTTCTTTTGATTAATTTTGAAAATAAAACTACATGTACATTATTCATTGTATAGCAAAAAGAAACAAAAGAACGATTTTTTGTCGAAAAATATGTTCAGATTTCATGAAGTGACATAATTAATGCTCTAGTTTAAGTTTGTTTTACATATATCATGATTCATGATATAGACCTTATTACGACGCAGTCCGTTGCTATGGAAAATCGTTTGGAAGTAGTATTACCTCGCGCATGCACAATCTTCGTTGGGCCAAAAGAGCCTCGCCCGACATAGGAATGTAGTAGAAGCAGTTTATAGACAATTCCGGGACAGTTTAAGGTAAAAAGTAAAAAAATATATAAAATACCATTTACAAAAACACAAAGTATACCTTGATAGCTTTGTGGTCAAGGTGGCCAAGGTTGCCATTAAAAGACATGGAAAAGATGATTGATTCCCCCTTACGATCACGGACCTGACATTGAGATCATTGTGAAAATGTAAAAATATATATCTATTAGCGAATAAACAGGTAAACTTAATTGTTGTTGAATTGTTCATATAAAATCTACAGAAATTTTATCACATATGTACGGTGGCACAAAGGTGACATGTGTGAGTGTTTTTATTTATCTCGTGGCCACGAGATACTATGTTGTGGCCACGAGTTACTAAGTCGTGGCCACGAGATACTATGTCGTGGCCACGAGATAGCTAAGTCGTGGCCACGAGTGTGCTATAGTGCTATAGTACAAGGATGCCCCTACTTCACCAGCCTGTAAAAGTGCTATTCATACAACTTATTGACAGGTCAATAATTTTACATTTTTACATTTAGCGTCATTGTGACCCTGATTTTTACCTAAATTACCTCGAAATTATTAGATGTCATCTTCTGATCAGGTGCAATGATCTTTCTGTGTTATATAAACCATGGCTTGTCCCGTCCAAATTAAATAAACCAGGACTTATTTCTTCTCATGTTATCGTATAAACAAGGTTAACAGGCCGTAGTAAGGCCACGACTTAGCTATCTCGTGGCCACGGCTTAGTAACTCGTGGCCACGACTTAGTAACTCGTGGCCACGGCATAGTATCCCGTGGCCACGACATAGTATCTTGTTGCCACGACATAGTATCCCGTGGCCACGACTTAGTAACTCGTGGCCACGACATAATATCTTGTGGCAACGAGATAAATAAAAATACACACATGTCACATTTGTGCCGCCGTACATATGAAATCGAGGTTAATTATCATTCTGAAAAAAGTCGACACGTGATGATGCAATTTTACTTTACAGTAAACCTGATTTCATATTTATCCGATTTGACTGTGATGCAAAATAGAAAAATAAGTCACATAAATAAATTTAGATAATTTTTTGAAAATCTTTAGAAGTGGGTAGTGAAATAACACATTTTATCCGAATCCTAGTAACACATGAAAATGCACGTCACACTATTTCTCACTTTACAAAATCAATAAATATTGATGAGATTGGTATATGTAAAAGTTACTTAAAATACGATTTTCATTATTTATGTCATGATACTATAAGGCCCCGGTTGAGTGATATTGTAAACTAACTGAAAAAATCGGTCATTTGTCAAACTGTTTGACACTGCTTTGCCAATCCATTTATTTAAAAACAGTGTACTACATACAAATCGTGTAATATTATGTTATACAGGGGTAATGAATTTTATCTTTAACACCCTGTTGTTCTAATTTAAATTACTGACGAAAAAGTCGTCTCATGTTACCTTAAACATAAGTATTTGGTATGCGCTTTTTTGATCATTGAATTATTAGTCCGCATATTTTCGTATATCTGTTATAAAGATCAGTTCATATATTAAGTACTGACAGCTTTAAGGCATCTTTCTAGGTGACCTTATTTGAAATCACGTTCGTTTGTTTGATTGATTGGGTTTTAAGTCACACCGGCACAGTATAGATCATATGGAGACTTCCAGCTTTACTTGTGGAGAAAGACCTCAGGTGCCCATCCGTGCATTATTTCAGGCATGAACGAGCACCTGAGTAGAAGCACCGAGGTTCGTAAGCTATTGAAATCACGTCCATTAAAACCTTTAAGTATAATACATCGTACCCTTAACACATGTACCGATAACAAACATCAGATCCCCTATATTTAGGTTATAAATGAAGTAGATGCTCGCCCATATGGTAGTAAAAAAAGTAGTCTCTTTCCGGTGGCGAGGGTAAACATGCAAACACACATAAAAATTGTACCCATCGTTACTGCGTTTTTGTCCTACGCAGAATGTGCATGAGCGAAATGAAACATCCGTTAGCATGGGGAAATTGAATTTTAAAAAGATCTACAATGTATATCTATATTTTCAACAAAAGCTAGGAGTGTATATACAAAATATACAAGATGCTGGCGGGATATACGGGAAAACATAGCCTAAATAAGATAAATATGATCCAAAGATAGTCATTAAATCACAATTTGTATCCAAATGATATACAATAACGTAGCTATCTTTCTAAATCAAAATACTTATTTAAGCGCCAACGGTGTCACATTTACAGAAAGATGAACGCGATATTCCAGGTTGTCATATTCTGCATTAATATAAAATAAAAGATAAAAGAATAGATAAATGTAATAAAAGAATGTCTAGATATTCATACTGTAACATTGAATGCATATTCTACAAAAGTAATCTTTTTATCCAAGCATTTATTAATATTCATAGATATCGTCTAGAAAGCT